AGCTTTCACCCAGACCGTACAGCCTGGCACTTTGAACGTGAACTTAAAGCCTCCAAATTGTAAGAATAAACTCCTGTTTGTTTAAGCCATCCCATTTGTGGTATATTCCTGTCAGAGTGGCACTAGGTAACCAGAACACTGATGAAGAGCAAAGGCTACAGCATTTAGTATGGATTATACCTCAACATAAAGAAAACAAAAATCTCACAGCTGGACCAATAAGCAACATCATGATAAATGGAGAAAAGATTGAAGTTGTCAAGGATTTCGTTTTACTTGGATTCACAATCAATGCCTATGAAAGCAGTAGTCAGGAATTCAAATGACGTATGGCATTGGACAAATCTGTACCGAAGACCTCTTTAAAGTGTTAACAAGGAAAGATGTCACTTTGAGAAGCAAGGTATGCCAAGCCAGGTATTTTCAATCACCTCACATGTATGCAAAAGCTGGAGAATGAATAAGGACTACTGAAGATTTGATGCCTTTGAATTATGTATGATGTTGACTAAGAATACTGAATATACCACAGACTTCCAGTAGAATGAACAATCTGTCTTGGAGGAAGTGCAGCCAGAATGCTCCTTAGAGGTGAGGATGATGAGATTTCATCTTATGCATTTTGGACATGTTATCAGGAGAGACAAGTCCCTGTAGAAGGTCATCATGCTGGGTAAAGTAGAGGATCAGTGAAAAAGAGGAAAACCCTCATTGAGATGGATTAACACAGTGGCTGCAACAACGGACTGAAACATGACAGCTATTGTAAGGATGGTGTAGGACTGGGCAGTATTTTGTCCTGTTTTAGATACAGTTGCTATGAGTCAGAACTTACTCAGTGGTGCTTAACAACAACAACAAAACTCTGATCACTTAGGTTGTTGATATAGCAGAAAGAATCTAAAAACACACTGAAAGTCTGAGTAAATTACAATTATTAAATTATGGTTTATGTGTAATTATTTCTAAACTCTTTTTTTTTCTAAACTTTTAAGTGAGGCAAAACATCTAATCTGAAACTTTTTTGACTGATGGCTAGTTTATTTTTATATACAAATTTGAAAGTCAATTTTAAAAATGTATTATTACTTTGTAATAGTGAATCAAGTGAAAGATTCTTAGAAATAAGAATATTTTTTGTCTTTTCTGAAAACTCTCAATACTCATAAAACATATAACATGAATGCCACCAAATGACATATGAGTTGGAATCCATGCTTATCAATTATTAAAAAAGTTGAGTTATTTGGAAAAGTGGGTATTTCTTTTGGCTGTTAAGATAAATTAAACTTAATAGGATGGAAGGAATAGACAGAGTCATAGTACCAAAAAGAATTGTTCAATGTTCAGTCATTTCAGAAGGTAGTATATGATCAAGAACCGTTGATACTGAAGGACAAAGTCCAAGCTGCACTGAAGGCACTGGCAAAAGCAAGTTTCTTGGAACTGACAAAATACCCATTGAGATGTTTCAACAAATGGCTGCAATGCTAGAAGCTTCACTAATTTATGTCATGAAATTTGGAAGACAGCTACCTAGCCAACTGATTGGAAGAGATCTGTATTTGTGCCTCTTGCAAAGAAAGATGATCCATCAGAATGCAGAAATTCTCAAAATAGTATCAATATCACATGCAAGTAAAATTTTGCTGAAAATAATGCAAAAAAATGTTTGCAGCAGTACATCAACAGGGAATTTCCAGAAATTCAAACCGGGTTTAGGAGAGGACATGGAATGAGGGATATCATCGTTGATGTCAGATGGATCTTGGCTGAAAGTAGAGAATACCAGAAAGATGTTTACCTGTGTTTTATTGACTATGCAAAGACATTCAACTCTGTCGATCATAGCAAGATATGATAACATAGCAAAGAATGGGAATTCCAGAACATTTCATTGTGATCATCAGGAAACTATACATAGACCAAGGTGCAGTAGTCATTCAAACAGAAAAAGAGAAGTGTGTGTCAAGGCTTTACACTTTCACCATACTTATCAATCTGTATGTTGAGCATATAATGCAAGAAGCTGGACTATATGAAGAAGAACACAGCATCAGGATTGGAGGAAGACTTATTTACAACCTGAGATATGCAAGTGACACAACCTAACTTGCTGAAAGTGAAGATGACTGATGAAGGTCAGAGACTACAGCTTTCAGTTTGAATTACACCCCAATATAAAGAAAACAAAAATCCTCATAACTGGACCAATAATGAGCGTCATGATCAATGGAGAAAAAAATGAAGTTATCAAAGACTTCATTTTACTTGGATCCACAATCAACACCTATGAAAGCTGTTGTTGTTGTTATGTGCCTCGAGTCGGACCCAACTCATAGCGACCCCTCCTTGGGTTTCTGAGGCGGTATCACTACGCAAGTAGATTGCCCCATCTTCCTTCTGAGGAGTGGCTGGTGGGTATGAACCGCCAGCCTTCTGGTTAGCAGTCAAGTGCCTTAGGCACTACACTACTAGAGAGAAAGCAGCAGTCAAGAAATCAAAAGTTGTATTGCACTGGGTGAATCTGCTGCAAAAGACCTCTTTAAAGTGTTTAAGAGGAAAGATATCACTTTGAAGACTAAGGAGCACTTGATCCAAACCATGGTACTTCAATACCCTCATATACATGTGAAAACTGGATAATGAATAAGGAAGACCAAAGAAAAATTGATGTATTTGAATTGTGGTGTTGGAGAAGAATATTAAAAATACCATGGACTTCCAGAAAAGCAAACAAATCTGTCTTGGAAGAAGTGCAGCTGGAATGCTCCTTTGAAGCAAGAATGGCCAGACTTTGTCATACTTGGTCATGTTCAGAAGGGATCAGTCTCAGGAAAAGGATGTTGGTAAAATAGAAGGTCAGCAAAAAAAGGGGAAGACCTTAATGAGATAGCTGGACACAGTGGCTACCAATATTGTGAGGATGGTAGAGGACCAGGCAGTTTCTCCTTCTGTTGTACATGGGGTTGCTATGAGTCAAAACCAACTCAATAGAACCCAACAACAATGGCATGCCTGTGGTTATAATTCCATTTCAGAAAGGGGTGTCTTTGTTGTGTTAATTAGGCAAGATCAGTGTAGGTGTATATTGAGTCAATCTCTTTAGAGATATAAAAAGAGACTATAGAAGCAAGCTAGAGAAACAGAGATGGGGGAAAAATTAATGCCAAGCCACACGGAGATGTCTAAGGAACCAGAAAACAGGCTGAAAAGACAAGGACTTTCTCCCAGACTAACAGAGATAGACAGCTCTCCCCTAGAGCTGGCACCCTGAATTCAGACTTCTGGCCTCCTAAACTGTGAAAAAATGAATTTGTCTTTTAAAGCCATTCCCTAGTACTACTTATGTTATAGCACCAGTAGGCAACTAGGACACATTTCCTGATGATACCAAGGGATGGCATCATTGCCTCCTCCAGGGCAAGGCACCTATATCTTACACAGTGATGTCACTGATGGCCCAAGAGATTACACAAGTCATATGAGGATGAACAAGTTTTATTTTAACAGTTTATATGTATTTTAATGATTATCTTTTATTTATAGCAAGTGATACTGGTTTATGATTTATAAGAATTCTATAAATTGTCCTTTTAAAAATTTTACTTTTCCCAAAGAATAAGTCAAGTTAAAGGCAACACTAAGTTAAAAACAATAGTTCACATGGGACACATGTATGAGGGAATGACTGAAATATTAGAGACATTCTGATTATTTCCCCAAGCCTCTGTCCCCACTGTGCTTCTATTAATGGAAATGATAATGCTTTTAATTGGGCCTGATCATAGGGGACCTGTGTGTTATGGACCGAATTGTGTCTCTCAAAAAGATATGTTGAAGTCCTAACCCTGGTACCTGTGAACGTGACCTTGTTTGGACATAGAGTCTATGAAGGTGTTATCAGTTAACATGAGAGCACATCTAATCCCATCTGAGTAGTGTATTATAAAAGAGAACAAGCATGGAGACAGATACAGGCAAAGGAAGGGCAATCATGTGAGCTGGACACAGGTGCAAGCCAAGCAACATCAAGCATCGCCAGGAGTCATCGGAAGCTAGGAGGGAGGAATGGAACCATTCTCTTTGAGAATATTCAGAAGGAATCAACACAGCTGATACCCTGATTCTGATCTCTAGTCTGCATTTGGCTGCTAACCGAAAGGTTGGCAGTTTGAATCTACCATCCATTCCATGGGAGGATGAGGCAGTCTGCTTCTGTAAAGATTTACAAACTTAGAAACCCAATGGAACAGTTCTACTCTTCCCTATAGGGTCACTAGGAGTTGGAATTGACTTGATGGCAGTGTTTTTTTTTTTTTTTATTCTATGGTATTTTGTTACAGCATCCATAGGATATGAATACATTGTGTTTTATGTTAAGTCACCTCAAAGTAGGTGGGGGAAGTAATCAATCAGTCAACCAATCTTCCCATCAATATATCTACAAGAAAACTGAAGGGACTTGCATCATGGAATTGAGATTCAGAAAAGCCCTAGGCCATAAAGGGACCTGACCAATTAAATGGCTCTGAGGATTGAAGATCAACTTGAAGGCAATGGTTTCATGTTTTTTGTTTTTTGGAGGAGGGTCTTCTGTGATTTGCCAAGCCAATTCCCTAGCAGGAACATCCAGATAGAAAATTAGGTCATCAATTCAGTAATTTAAATGATACTTGAAGAAGATAGTTGCATGTGTTCATATAAATCACCCACTTGAAAATTACTCCCAAAATATTCAAGGTAAGAATGAATGGCCCTGTCACAGAAACACAGGACTGTTGAATTTGACTTCTTGTTACCTTCTTTCCTTTTTGAAACCTCCACCAACCTTCACCTCCAGGCTTTACTCTGAAGAAGTAAGATAAATGAATAGAGAGAGTAAAAATAAAACTTCTGTTCATAGTTCACACTGTGAGAGAGGCTTCAAAGTGTTTTAACACAGATTTTGAAGATGTGTTTCATCATCACTCCAAAGGGCCTTTGGGCCTGGACTCTTCCTACTTCAAGTTGGGCGAGGTGATTTGATCAATCAGGGCAGAGAAAGCCCTGCTCACCTGCTGAGCTCCACAGTACAGGTCCATGTTTACAGAAGATTGCTGACCTGAAATCAACAAACATGTGAGTCCTTCAGAGAAATGCACCTGTAGGTTCTCAAACTGATTTTTATAAAACTGTAGCACAGAAGAGAAATAGAACCCATCTCTCCTCAGTTCCTGATGACAATGTCCTTTCTCTAAGCTGGTTAGCAAATATGATGACTGTTAGTTACCATGAACAATACTACTAATTCAACCAGTGTGTGGGTTCTTAACGAACATTTTCTCATGGTTCCTAGCACAGACCTGAGTTGCTAGAAGCCCACTCAAGAGCAGTGGTTGCCAAACTCTAGTGTATATCAGAATCACCAAGAGGGTTGGTTCAAACAGCTTGTTAGGTCTCTGATTCAGTATGTCTTCAGTGGGGCCAGAAAATTTGTGTTTGTAAGCAATTCTCAGGTGATACTGATGCTGCCAGTATGGGGACCATTTTGAGAACCACTGCTCAGTAGCTATTTGATGAATTGTTTAAGTGGTCACCTATGATCTGTTGTAATAGGGATTGTACTGTGGAAAGATCTACAATTTGGCAGTTAGCAACCAAAAGTCTGATAGGCATAAACTTGAACCTAAGAGTTCTTTCCTAGGAATTGATACTAGAAAAATATATTTACATATGAGTACAAAGAAATATGTTACAAGGATACACACCAAGGCATTTTTTAATGATAATAAAAGATTGGAAGCAACTTAATTATACAATAGTAAATACATTTTCCCCTGGGATATTATGTAACGTTTGAAACACGTCACTGCTGAGTGTCTCAAATACATTGCCAATTGAAAAAGCAAGAGCTAGTATGACCTAACTTCGGTTGAAAAAGTAAAGGCATACATATATTAATAGACAAAGTTTTGAAAGGAAACTTGTTGAATTGTTAATATTGGTTACAGCTAAGAAACAGGTGAGAAGGACAGGGGCATAATGATGGATTTATATTTAAAAAATATGTGTACTTCTGCACTTTAATTTTATAGAGAACATGTAGTATTATATTACTTGTGTAATTAAAATATAAAAATCTCATAGGAAGTAGAAAAGCTTATTTTGCTAGTTATATAATTTTTCATTATATGATATACATTGTGTCTCCATCCATGCTGTTTTCTGTTGAACATAAGTGAGAATTCATGTCTTTTTAGTCCATCTATCCTCTAACATTGCTCCAGGACTAGTGTTGTTGTTGTTATGTGCCACTGAGTCAGACCTGACTCATAGTGATCCCTCCTTGGGTTTCTGAGGCGGTTTCACTATGGAAGTAGATTGCCCAACCTTCCTTCCGAGGAGTGGCTGGTGGGTTTAAACCACTAGCCTTCTGGTTAGCAGCCATGTGCCTTAGGCACTGCGCTACCAGAGCTCCTCTCCAGGACTATAAGGACCTTGAATAAATAAATTCTTACTGCCTGACTAAAACACCTTATCCAAAGGCAAACTTATTTTAGGATATTCTGTTACTCACCCACAGTGATAAAACCTAAAAGATAGCAATAGAGAAATCAGGAGGCAATAATCCATTTTATATACAGGAATTTTTCTTGTTTTTGTTTGTTTTTCTTTGTAAGGTCCAGTCCCTTGAAATATCAGAAATAGCCAAAGATATACACCTAGTACCTAGTATGTCACTTGGTGTACAGTTGAAATTTAATAAATGTACAGACTGAGTTAATATAACACATATAAGGGTCTAATAAGATGTTAGATAAAAATACCTGTGACATGGACAATCCAAAGGAAATCACAGTGGGAAATAATTCACTTGGATGTAATTAAAAATGTATGTGGTCTCTGAATGACCCAGGGCTGGAAGATGAGCCTGCCAGAATGTTAGATGTGGAGGTTAAAGCCATAGTTTAAAGTGGTGGATCCAGGTAGGGAGGAAAGGAACTGGAGTAGTCTTCTTATCCTCACCCTTAGCCATACCTCCCCTAATCCCCCACTCTCTTCTCCACCCCCCCAATTCCTATCTCATTATTGAAATCCACAGTGACAAATGGGTGACAACCAGATGGGAGTGAATCAGGGAAAATACCTTTGGAGATGTATTCAGGGGAAATTTGGCTCATGGATGGGGAGAAAATAATTTAACAAAAAAGTCAAACCAGAGGATTATGTCCTCATTTTTACACAGAAGCAAGTAGCATTAGATTCCCTTTCAAATCTAAACCTTTGCTGGAAGTTTTGATCAAACTGTTTACTACTGATTTTCAGTCTAACATTTGGAATTTAAAGAGGTTTGGGAAACCCCTTCTACATGACTTTCTCTTTTCCATTAAGCTCTCAAAGTCTCTTGAAATCCTGTTATCCTAGATCTTGATACTGAATCACTCTAATCAGTTCATGTCAACAACTCCCCAAAACTGACCATCAGATTTTCTGGTTTAATCATATTAAGTCTTTAAGTAATGTAAAGTTCATCTTAATTTCTAACATGAGTTGGTTCCTTAGCAAATCTGAAATCCAAAAGGGTAGTCAGCTTCTACTGTAATTACAACACTGGAGAAATATATTGGTACTCTGAGTAAATCTTAGCATGTTACAAGTGATAAATCTTTCTAATTCTCTCAACATTCTTCAAATTAAAACAAACAAACAAATCTAACTTGTTACAGTAACATAAGGAGCTCTGGCATGCAATGGTTAAGCCCTTGACTGCTAAATGAAAAGTCAGCGATTTGAACCCGCTAGCCATTCATGGGAGAAAAGACCCAGCAACATGCTCCTGTAAAGATTGACAGCCTAGGAAACTCTGTGGGGGTAGTTCTGCTCTGCCCTATAATGTCACTATGAATTGGAATCAATACCTAGGCACACCCAACCACAACAGTAACGTGATCAGAGACTGCTGGCTGTTATCTGGTGGTTAGTGATAAAGTGAAGGTAACCAATATCTTCATTTAATTTGTTTTCCTTCCCTGTTCATTGTCAACATGCTTAATATACTTTAGGCCCTGATTAGTGCAATTCTGTTAAACATAAATGGATTATGGAATGTACTTTTGTAATCCATTTTGACAATGGCCACATAGAGTTTATAAACAAGCTCATTATCTATACCACAGTGAGTAAAGATACAAACTTAATTAGAAATATCTGGCTGAGTTAGAGGTGACAGTGTTTAAAAATGTAAAGAGCAGCCATGAAAATTAATATAGATCTGATGCTTACATGCTTAAAAGAAATAGGACTAATGTAAAAGAAACAAGACTATAAATCTAGATCTCATCAATTAGCATTTGTTGAATTATCGAGGAGAATAGAACATTATAATAACAAAAAGAAAATGTGCACCTTGATTCTAGGATCATCGGCACATTTGTATGGTGATACTGCATGGACTTCATATGGAAGCATCACATTGGTTCTACTGAGACTGAAAGAGATGAATTTTTTGAGGTTTATATATTTTCTGAAATATTGGATAACATTAACTTCATCTTTATATATTATTATATCACCTGAATTTAGAAATAAATTTTATCATTTCATAATTTTCCTCTTAATGATATAATGATGTGTGTGTACATGGCTATAATTACGTATTTATATATAGCACTTGATAAAGTCACTTAAAATATGTATGAAACTTTTTGCTGTAAGTATCAAACTGCACAAGGTTTGGGATACTGTCTTCCAAACATGTATAATCAACCTAATCTAGTAAAAATCTAAAATGTGTAACACATTGTTGTTGTTACATGCCGTTGAGTCGGACCCAACTCATAGCGACCCCTCCTTGGGTTTCTGAGGCAGTATCATTACAGAAGTAGATTGCCCCATGTTCCTTCTGAGGAGTGGCTGGTGCATTTGAACTGCAAGACTTCTGGTTAGCGGTCAAGTGCCTTAGGCACTATGCTACCAGAGCTCAGCCTAGTAAAAATTGAGGGCTAACAATATGTTAAAAATAAGCACATTTCATAAACTCATTTGGAGAAATAAAAACAAGATGATAATGTCAAAGACTTAAAAAAGTTTCCTATAAAGCCCAATTTTTATGTGCATTTTTCCTAAAAAGATCAAGTGGATATTGACTTTGCTTTTAAAACTCATCATGACCCCAAGGATGTTTGAATGGAAATTCAGTGGGTGGAATCTTGTGTCAGCCTAAGAATCTGGCACAAGGAGTTCCACCCTGTCTTTGCCTCAGGCAGCCTGAGTGTGCTTCCGGCATCTTTATGACCTTGTTTGCTGTAGTGCAAAAATTAAACCTCCAACTCCATTCACAGTAGAGTTGTTTGTATTGTTGTTGTTGTTGTTATGTGCCGTCGAGTCGCCCCGACTCATAGTGACCCCTCCTTGGGTTTTTGAGGCAGTATCACTACAGAAGTAGGATTGCCCAACCTTCCTTCCGAGAGAGTTGTTTAGGATCAACAAATAATTACTTCATTGACTTGGTTCTACTATGGTCTGTATAAAAACTGACATTATTATGTGCCCATTTTACAGTTCACCAACTCAGACACATTTTGAGAAATCTTGCTGTAACACAGAAACACAAGGGAATGTTATCCTTTGTTTTTATCACAAGTTGACGGATGATCAGTGCAAAAGAAAAATCTTAGGCTTTCTTAAAGAAGATATGGATATAGATACAAAATAAGGTAATAAAGCATTCTAGCTAGAAATAAGACAATACCGCACCAAATCAGAAGAAATAGCTATGATAAAGAAGGATGACAAAAAGAAAAAATAAACTTCAGAATTTAGCAATGAGTCATAGTTTGTGAAAAAGATGGTTATAATGATGGTACTACCTATGTGTTTTATGTTGTGTGCCATCCACCAGATTGCAACTCGTTGTAACACTATGGGACAAAGGAGAACTACCTTGTGGGGTTTCTTGGGCTATAATGTTTACAGAAGCAGATCACCTTGTCTTTTCTCCTGCAGAGTGGCTGATGGGTTCTAACCATGGCCCTTTGGATGGTTAGTAGCCAAGCACTTAACCATTGTCACCAGAGAAAATTAATTAGATCTCCTCTAGTAAGAGAACACCACTGTTACTTCCATTTTAAAATGGTGACATCAGACTGCCCAGGTACATATGAGTTAGGGCTGCCAGTAATAATTATTACAATGACAAAATAATAAGCATTATGATGGCATAAATGATTATGTGCCAAAAGGTTAAGCACTCAACTACTAGCTGAAACGTTGGCAGTTCAAACCCACCCGGGTGCCTTGGAAGACAAGGTTGGCAGACTGCTTCCAAAAGGTCAAAGTCTTGAAATCCCTATGGAGCAGTTCTAGCCACACATGGAGTCACCATGAGTTGGAATCAACTTTATGACAATCACCAACGATTATGTGCCACATGTTGCACTAAAGTCATACGTGGTTTATAATTTTTAATGCACAAAACAACTCAATGAATTATTGTAATTCTAGGATGTAGAGAAACAAGTTCAGAGATGCTACTGACATCCAAAAGATGTGGAATTCTGACTGTTACTCACTAGATGAATTGTAGCTGCCAACACGTTATGAGACAACTTTACCTGATGGCATTTCAAGAGTGAAGGCTGTCATACATTTTGACAGCAGTTCTTGCAGTTCCTCTTCCTCCAGCTCATCCTTCCTCTCCTCAGCGTTAGTGGTCTCTTTCCTTCCAGCAGGTTCCAGAGCAGGACTGCTCATTTCAGCAGGGATAAATTGAGGAGCATCCTGCAGTAATCCTTCCTGAGTACCAAGTAGGGTTTCCTTTAGCATCTTTTGGGCGTGGCTTTGTGCCCTGCTGCTTTGCTTTGACCTTGGCTCCAAAATGGCATCTGATGGTTCTGGATTAGGTAGTGCATACTCTGTATTTGTTTGCCTCTGGTGACTTCTGCCAACAATGGCAGGGTTAGGAAGAGGTTCCAATTCTGAGCCCTTCTCAATGATCTTGATCTGAGAAGAATCTCCCTCCCTCCAAAACCTTTTAGCCAAGGGATGGCCACTCTTCAAAGCCATATTTTGATAGGAAGAAGACAAAGGATGAAGTGGCTGAAACACTGCCTAGATAAAGAAAATGTCATTTATGAGGAGATTAATAGTCATCTTACTTTTTTCATAAATGGATTGAATTTCAGTATTCCAATAGAAAATGCTAACGCAAGGCTTTTCTTCCTGCTCTCTAAATGTATTACTATAAATTTTATTTTATGTTGTTAATTCAGTGTCAACATAAAACTCTCTGCAAGAGTTGGCACAGCTCCGATTCTAATTACCACAAAGAGTGTCACCAGGAATTTTGGGGAGATTCTATGTTCTAAAAAGTCCAGTTCCTAGAAGTATCATAAGGGATTTAGGAAAATGTCAGCATACATTGAATTTATACATGAAGATTCTTATAATAAAACATTTTTATAATGATCTCTGTAGGTAGTAATGTGTGAAGGGTTCTATGACAAACCACAGGTAAAAAGTCGAAGAGGGTTTGCTTCCTGTAATACTCAGGTCTCAATATGTCATCAATAGATTCCTGATGGGTATTCCAAAACTCGTTTAGAGGTCCATGACATCAAAAGTACTTTCATAATAACATTCAGAAATTATTTGCCTTTTCTTTGTGTTGACATTTGTACTGATGCTGCAGAAACAAAAGTAAGTAAAAACTGGTGGTGCCTTGACTAATCAACGCAGCATCAGCAAGCAGTGCTAATTGTCACGGTATTCTTCAACACCATGCAGTTAAAAAAATAAGTGCCAGTTCCACACTTGATGGAGCAGTACAAGTTATTAATTTTAATAATAACATATCTTTTTAACAGTGTGTGTGTTGAAACAGGAAAGGTGCATAAAAACTCTGATGCACAATGAAATACAAAACTTGACTGAAGGACAAGCACTTGGGGAGAAGAATGACTGACACACTATGGTTTTTCAGACTTGGGTATTTGGCAAATGTTTTCACAAAAATGAACGAAGTGAGACTCACTTCAAGGAAAATAACTAAAGGTATTTGTTGCAAATTATAAGAGTTGAGCTTTCAAGCAAAAATTAGAATTTTAGAAAATGTGTGTCTGTCACTCAAAGCTTGATAGCTTTCCAATTCGTAATGTTTCTGGTGAGATTAGTGGTGATTTAATGACTTTTCTTTTAACATTAAAGAGGGTCAGTCTTAGGAACTTTGGTGTAGGTCAGTGAAACAAGATTTTCTAAATGACCAATGCATGATGCTATAAAGTCATGCACGGGTAGAAAATTGGGTAGAAAATTCATTCAAAGTGCACCATAGAATACTAGGTTTTATTAAAACAGAGTGTGGAATAGATATTGCCCTTTAATAACCTACCAGTTGTTATATTTTGGTGTGGTACCAAAGAAGAATATCACCAATTATCTGAAAAGGCTGTAATATTGTAAGTAATGTTGTAACACTCCTTTCTTTTTCAACTGCAAATTTGTGTGAAGCCAGACTTTCTTCATATATTTCAACCAAAACAACATCTTGCAATAGATTGATTGCAGAGCCAAATATGAGAATCTGGCAATCTTTTATTAAAGGCATACATTAAAGAGGTTTACAAAACTGTAAAATAATGCCATTCTTCCTGTGAAGTATTTTTAAAAATATAGTTAGTTTAAAAATATTATATATAACCATGTCAT